TGCTTAGTTGCTGGCTGGGGCTAAACCACGACACCCAGGAAAAAGGGAGTGGTTGTGGGAAGGTGTTTTAAGATTTTGGTTTCATTTCTCATTATCCTACCCTGATTTGATTAGCAATAAATTAAATTAATTTTCCCCAAGACGAGTCTGTTTTGCCCATGACAGTAATTGGCGAGTCATCTCTCCCTGTCCTTATCTTGACCCGTGAGCCTTTTGTTACATTTTCTCTCCCCTGTCCAGCTGAGGATGGGGGAGTGATAGAGTGGCTTTGGTGGGGACCTGGCATCCAGCCAGGGTCAACCCACCACAACTTCTTAGGAAAGTACCTTCTGGTGTTGGATTATAAAATACTTCATCACTGAATGATTAAAACCATTGAACAAATGCACTGGTGACAAAGCACAGTCAAAACTGCCTCGATGCAGTTCTACACCACCAGGTTCATTTCTTCTAAAGTCTTTTATGGAAGCCGTAACTTCCGCGCATGAATATTTTTGGTCCCTAAACTCAGCCTCCATAAGGAGTATTGATTTGTTGGGTTTGCATGGAGCAGCCTGCTGTGGCTAGCAGTCCGTACAACTGCCCAGCTCTACAGACAGGGGTTTGGGTCATGGTACTGAAGGGAGAGCTCACTGCAAAGGACTGCCATTGCACATGCTTCAAATCAAACAGGACCTGGAGACCCAGAAAGTTCTCCAGGACTCCTTCTTGCACCTCTCAAGCAGTACAGAAAAGGTTTCTGTGGACAACACTCACCAATGTGGACATTGGCTGAAAACTGGTAGATGCCAGACACAGGTGCTGTGAAACGTCCTGTTGCCAGATTTAATCCTGTCCCCCGCAGAAAAGCTCCTTTGGCCAGAGGCTGTAAGGTAAGAAAAGCAGACGCTGAACAAGTTCCCAGCACTCTCAACAATTACCTCTGCCCATGACAAAAAACAAGCTTACGTGCATGAGAACAAAGCCGAAAAGATTTGCAAGGCTACTGCCTTATCTCCCCAGAACACACCTTCCAGATGGGCTCTCTCTCATCACATGATGCCCACAAAAGGCAAAATGATCACGTGAGACATGAAGATGCCCTTTTTGCTCACTGCTGAACTCTTCTAACTCATCTTGACTCAGATGGGGCCAAGCAGTGTCCACCGATTTAAAAACCTGGAACCTTATACACTGGTTTTGTGATACCAGTACAGAAGAAACACTCATATGGGTCTCCAGAGATTTTCTACCCACTTTAGGTCTAAGTCAGACAGCTTTGATACTGTTAAAGAACAACTGCTTGGATTCCGACAGATTGCATATTTAGTTTCATTTTGTTCTAGCCTTAGATTCTACAGAATAGGCAAAAACCTAGTAAAATAGCATGCAGCTTCTCTTCATGGCAAGGAAGCAGTCTTAAGTCAAACTTGCAGCAGATTATCTGACTCAGACTAAAATAAACTGCAAGCAATGTTTATTGTTTGTTTTGGCCTGCCTCATATGAATTTGGCTAGAGCTGGGGAGAAGCAGGAGTGGCTTCAATGGGCCAAGAAAGCACATTAGTCAGACTCTGCTTCCACCACAAGGGCATTCTGTGCAACGTGAATGCATTCCCATGGATGCTGTCCTGAGAGATTTGCCCCACATTGGTCTCACGGGACAGAAGAGCTGTTCAAATCCAATGCTGTAAAGGCACGCACACTGCTATATCCCTAAAACATGCACAAATGCATAAGTGAGCAATCTGAGCAACCCAACGTTTGAGTACGCTTTCCGGTACTAGATGGCGAAAGGTACCCGAGACATGGTGAAGAAATTTGTCGCAGTGTTGCCACAGGTGCTATTACACAAAAAAAAAAAAAGTAGTGGAACACCTTTGTTCAAATACCAGAAGGAGGTTAATTGCCTCCCCATTCTGGTTCATCACAGCCAGAAATTGCCAGCTTTCACAGTGCAGGGTAGGAAAAAATTATTTAGCTTTCTCTTTGAAAGGAAGTAAGGCTGCAAATATTTGGGTCTGGTGGTGTTTGTGTAGAGAGTTACTATGTGGTAGGAGGAGTGAAATGACTAACCTGCCTTTATTCAGCAAAACCCAGGCAAGGCTCACAAAAGTGTAATTCCCAGTCCTTATTTACCAAGATCTAGCTGTAGCCTTAAGTTTTACAGAACTTCCCTAGAAATCTTTTATGTATGCACATGGTGGTGAAGATACATCCCTGTGCAACAGCAGTGGCACTTCTCATAAGTTACCATATATATAATGGGAAAACAGTAATAATGAACTGCAGAACAGATACGTTTCATACAATGATTTCTAAGTCTCTGTATTTGTCAACGTGCACTGATGTGTGCCTATGTGCACATATATACACACAAAAGGAGCTCCATTTTCTTTACGTATACACACACGGACAATGTAACAGCTAACCTAACAACAAAGACTATGGAAGGAGATTGAGTCCGCTCTTACGCTATCACTACGCCATCATTTTTGGTAATGCTATTTTTGATCTACATTGCCGAAAGAGCAGATCCAAGCCCTGTATGTGCAAAACTCTACTGCACAGTTAATTCATTCCTTTCTTGTTACAGCTATTAGCAGAATCAGCAACATAATTCCAAAACCACTGGCTGAGCATGGAAGGCAATTTTAGGCACCAGTAAATTATCACTGATAAAACATTCCTGTTTCTTCATGCCCTCTGTGGCTTTGTTATTCTTTTGCTCATAGAAATAGACAATGCAAGGAGAGGTTCTCTGGGCAAAATATTCCATTAAACCCCATACCAGTTAGAGCTCCCTGCTGCATTTGCTGCCTCACAGCAGCAGACTTGCCTCGCTGCTTCAAACACTGCAGGAATTTGTGTCTGAGAAACTAACTACGTGCACACAGTTATTTCAGTTAGCGGAGCAAAAGCAAACAAACAAGTTAGCCTCCAGCCATTCTGGTCAGCTTCTCTTCCTCAGTGCATCTCCTATCCCCATGTCTCCCTCATACACTCCATAGTTTATTTCTGGGTAGAAAATAGAAACCATTCACAGAGAATTGAGATTGAACTGCCAGTTTAGTTTTTCAGTGATAAACACTGTGGAAAGCAATACATTGACTAATCTGTTATTAAAGAAAATAATAACCCAGCCTGCACAGCAACCACAATGCACAGGGGATGCACCGATCTCCTGAAGCAGCAATAAAATTTGACTGCCAAAGGTAGACATTTAGCCTGACCTCAAGGCACTAGAGACACTGGGACTCTTTCTGGGATCTTTCGGCATGAAAAGCACGTGGGCCACCTTAGCCTTGAATGATCTGATTCTGTCATGTTCCTGGGCCCCAGATAAATCCCACTTCCATGGCCTGTCAGAGGCTGCAGCTACTTCAATTCTTGCTGTGTAAAGTACCTTTCTGAAAGCTTTTGCAAAAGGCAATTACTAGAAACCTCGAAGTGTGAGATACAGGAGGAAGAGGTGTGGGGAAAGGAGTATCAAATGTTTCATTCCAGATACCAAGGAAATTGTGAGACCAAGAAGAAGAGAGGGAGGGAACATTCTTGGAGGAAATTTAGCATGGAAGGATGAGAAAACCATCATGCTCTCTCAATACTCAAGGTCACAGTGACTTAGACACCATAGTCAAATGACAGAGTATAGAAGCAACAGGCTGTTTCTCAGCACAGGTTCTTTCCACTATCCCAAAATGCTTTGGGTAAGGTCCAAATCCAGGAATTAAAGTCAATTGCTATCATCTCACTGAGGAATATCAAACTGTTGGCTTCTTCACCCTATTAAACTGACAGAATGAAGGGAGGGGAATTCTCACTCTCTCTCCCCCTTGGACTGTTTAAAGACAAAGTTTCATCCTTGCAAGAGCATCCGCTGTCTCCCTCCCTGCTAAATTCCCCTATATCAGAGCACAAGCTAAAACCAGACACTTCTTGTCCCAAAGCTGAAATGAAAGGCTGGCATCCAGAGGCCTGCCAGCCCTCCCACATCAGCTTCAGGGCCAGAAGCAATTAGAAAGAAGCTAGGCATATGATAACAAAGCATGGGAAGCATCAGCCTACGCACTGATTGCTGAGATGTCTTTATTCACATTTTCCCTCCTAATTAATCAGGCAGCAGAACTCTCTAGCCCTGCCCACACTTCAAGTACAATCTTGCCTCTGTGCCAGCACCCACAGTGCTGTCAAACCAGGCTTCCACAAGTGTATTTGGGAAAGATCCAGGAAAGCACCCTATTTAGAACATAACCACTGCCTCTAGTCCTGCAGCTGTGAGAAGTCCTAGAAGCAAAACTACTCCATAGGAAAGGATCTGCTGGACAGGATTCTTTAGAAATGGGGCTCTGCAGCTGGGAAGAAAGCTCAGCACCTTACTACACGGACAGTGTTAGCAAACCCTGTTGTCAGAAAGCCGTATTCCCTGTTCATACTCCTCAAACTCTTTTTGTCACATCACAAAAGCAACCATGCTATTAGACAGTCTTTGTGACTCCAAAGTTTAAAATAAGTCTCCTCAACTACAAAGTAACTATTTGGTTTTATCTATTACTTTGCCTACCATTTATACTTCAAATTCAGATCCTATTCGCAACTGGTGCAAAAATGATTAGTGGAAGTTTTAATATCAGATTCAACAGCTTGCTTGTAACCATGCTTATAATGAGCTACAGCATCCCATGATGGTGTGCTTGTCATTATAACATGACTATAATGAAATTATATAGGTAACATTTATTAGTCTTCCATAAAACATTATGTAAAGAATGTGAGCATCAGGACTGGCCCATCTAACAAAATGATGGCTCTCATTTGGGCTCACAAACCTATAACCAATGGCTTCTGCCTGCCTCTGACATTTTTCTGCATCTGAACGTTATGCTGGAATTAAACAGGGTGTGCGCTGAAAAAAAAAGAACAGATCCTTCAGACTAATGCCAAACATGGATAAGTCTTTCTCCATCATTAACTGAAATAAAAAGACTGACTGTTGTTTGGACCTGTGAGACAGCCCTCTCTTGCACAGACCTGTTAGAACTTCAGTAAGAACCGTAATGAGATTCAGCTGGGCTGCAAGAGAGGAAGAAAGTCTGCCTCTTGGGTTTGTCAGGAAGGAGAGGACTCAAAGCTACAAGTCCATCTTCCTGCAGTTGAGCTTCAGTGCTGAAATCACCATATGGGACCCTACTTCTGTCAATCACAAAAAAGGTAGTGCTATGTTCATAGCATTCAAGCCTGAGACGAGCTCCTGGGATTAGTCTGCCCTTTCAGGAAACACCTCTATCTACAGAGCCACCTAGCAGCTTTGCAGACTAGGGGAACTACAGCCGATCTACACACAATGACTGTTGTGGAGTTGCACAGGTTCAGTCTGTAATCCCTTCTCACCGACTGGAAGTTCTGAAGTTCTACCAGGGTCTTCTTATCTACAGTGACTTGTCCTTTTAGCTTGCAATGGAATGCCTCCTCTACACGTCTGTGGGGTGAAACTTCCTCCAAGGAGAGCAGGAGTGGAGGCAGCTGGCTAGGATGGGCTGAAATAGCCAGGGATGCTCGACGCTCAATGGCTTCTGAGGAGAAAAGAAAGAGCAGAGGGAAATAAAAGCTTAGTTTAAGAGCCAGGTCTGTGAAGCCATTAGTTCTGTGATTAGACTTCTGCATTCAACTCCTCAATGCAAACTATGTAGCACTGGGGAAACATTTTTTCAGATTTTTGATTGCCAGATAGGGGAATGCTTTAAGGTAAACATTTACAAAGCCAGTTCTTTATTTGCCATGGTGCTTACCAAAAGAAGCAGGTCACAAAAGCACAAAGCTCTTACAGTCTTTACCTTTTAATATCTCCTTAAACTCCTGCAGAAGGACTTCCCGGGTGACTTCAGCACCAGGTGCTCCTGGAGGTCCCTGGGGGCCAGGAGGTCCTGGGGGCCCAACAAGGCCACGCTAAGGAAGTAACCAAAGAAAAAACATGTGAATTAGAAGCAGGCAACTGCACTGACAGACCAAAAATTCTCTCAGCCATGAGCCAGTTCTACAGGGCTGTCAGCCACATGAGCAGCCCCCTCCACTATCAACTCAACTATGGGCCTGATGCAGTAAATCTTAAACTGACTCTCCAGCCAGCTGTGAATTCCAGTACTTGGAATCTACTCACATGTTTATGTGGGAGGATAAGCGTTGCTCAGGTAAACACTAACTGGTTCTCCAAGTACATACATACAGTGGGAAACACAACAGGTGTAAGTTTACCACTTCTGTATCTTCTCGTACCACCAAAGTAACATACTAGCTTTTAAGCTTGTTATTCTGCCTATTTGCTAACTAGAATAGCCATGTAGCCACACTTTACATTATTAATATATATTGCTTAGACATAATGATCACACACACGAGTGTTTGGTGCGACAGTAGAGCTCTTGGAAAAAAATGAAACAGTTATTCAAAACACCTGTAAAGGTTAGCCACACACACATTACAGCTTTAAACTAGTCGTACAAACATACAACAGTCTTATCAATGCTATTTTGATGTATATTGTTCCCAGGGAGTTCCTGTTTCCACAACTAAACTGCAGTAAACCTGCATGGAAGCACTCCTGCCTATCAGCTCACTGAGAAATAAAAGAAAATCATTAAAAGCATTCAAGACTGTCTAAGCAGCAAATTAAAAGTGCACACATGATCAAGCATCACTCAGCAGATGATCAGTAATTCACTAATTTGAAACAAACAACTTGTTCACATCTTGATTAATATATCCTTTGAGACACCTGGAGTTTATCTAGTGGAAGAAAAAAAAAAGTTAATTTTATTTCTACTGGGCAGAAAAAAACCCAAAAAAGGCTCAGTCCAAGAAACAGCTGGTTTAAAGAAAAATGAATGCTGACAGTGGAATTCACATACCTTGTCTTACAAAGCATATAGCACTGTCTCAAACTTCTCCAAAATACTTTGAGAAATTAAATACAAACAAATGAAAACACAGCACTTTCTGGGGTGGGAAGGCAAAAGCTGGAGCATACAAAACACTTTGCTTATCAGCAGTAGGAAGGGAAGCCACATTGCACATTTATTAGCCGATGGCAATCTAGCAATAACCTACTAATTTCTTGTCTTTCCCTTTGCATCTTCTTTTAGATGTATTGCCATCATCTGGGCGGTGAACAAAGGAGATCCAGGTCCGCCGTGGATCTGTGATTCGAGGATCTGGAGATTCTAGGATCTAAAGAGAAACAAGAACAAAGACTGATATCACTGCATCTCTTTGGCCACTACATGGATTCAGAGAATGCAGTTTCCAGACCAGACTGTTGTCTGCTGCCTAAACCACATCCTTGATCCAAATGTACTGTGTTTGGGAGGACATTGAAGGTGGGATAAAATGGGATTTTACACTTCTGTTACAAGCAATTCAGTTTGGATTATCCAGTACCATGCCACTTTTTGTCTTCAGTTACAGGAGCATTGCAAATGCAGGATAGTACTTCAGTTTGAGTTTTGACACAGTGTATGAAAGACATCAGCCTTTCAAAGAGTCCCATTATTAGAGTGGGATTTTTTTTTTTCTTCCTAAGTTACAGGCTAAGCCTGCCAGCAGAAATGTCCCAAAAGCCAGAAGATGCTGCCCTTAAAACATCAAAATGCCTTCTCATAACTTAATATGCTGTCACCCGCAGGGCCTCCGAGCTCCCTTTGCTTAAGAAATCAGTAAGAGCCAAGAGTTGGGAGCCAGTGTACCTCAGAGACCTTCCTCAAGCTGCTGAGACTCTCAGCCCTCTGACAGTCCTAATACGCACCACAGAAAAACCTGCCCAGATGCCAGAGATTGGTCACTACTGGCACTTGACATTTATCAGTGGGATCTATCAAGCAGTACAGGGAGATTAAAATGTACAGAAAACCTTGAAATGCTCCATAATTTTTAAGTCATAATGTAGAGTAACAAATGTGCACACTGAAAAAAGAACATGTCTGATCACAGAAAAGATGTCGTCCACTGGCAAATTTAACTACCTTGCCCATTCTTATGTTCTGCAAGTATATCGTAGCCATAGAGAAATTATCTAGAGAAGCTTTGATATTACAGTGCCTAGTTTTGGACCCCTTCTAAACAAAGTCTGGACAGGAGAGAGGATCTGTCTTTATGAATTTGAGTCCACTTCCTATTGGACTCCCTGGTTCCCATTAGTGACCTCCAAGAGACAACCCGAAGTAAGTGATCAAATAGCCACACCTGTCATTTTTACCCTAGGCTGGGAATGAACTTCTAAGTTTATATTAAAAAAAGGCACCAGAAATCATTGGTTACCAATACCCTGCCACGCTCTTGTCAAGAACTATTAACTGTTGACTGTGGAGGTTCCAATCTGTTGGCACGTCAGCTTCCCAAACATCCATCACAGTGAGGATAAAAGCACAAGCCCTCCCAAAGTTTCATGAACCATGCTTAAGTATTCAGAGCCATTAATGAAAAAGCCAGAGAGGAAAAACTGCAATGAACACTTAAAATATTTAAAAAACAAGCAAACAAAAAACCGACCCCTAAGCCTATAGTAAACTTTTGGAATTCATTCAAGAAACCTGTTTTTTTTTTCTTCTCCCAGTGAGATAGAACAGGTACAGATCAGAATACCAGCAGGAAAGCAATACAAGGCAGTAGCGGATTGAACGACATTTGAAATTATTCCTAGACCAGTACTAGTTTAGGTAAATCAATATTGATCTATCACCATTCAGGAGGAAGAAAAGAAGATGGGTGTGGAAAAAGCATAGAAGCAAAGTCAGTCAACAGTGCACTTTTCAGATCTAAAAGTGTTTGCCCCTGGCTATTAAGCTCCTACTAGTCTGACAGCATTAGACAGTTCTGCTGCAGCTCAGACGCTATAGCTCTACCCTCAGTGGCCTTAACAGTAACAGTGACCTTGCAAGGTGCTTCCAATGCAGCCAAGTCAGCAAACACATGCACTTCTGCTCATTACCTGTCTCACTTGGCTCCCTAAAGCGCCTGCCACTTCTCAGAGAACAATACTGAGTTTTAATAACATTTCTAGCACCACTTACAAGCATAGATTCCCCTTCATCAAAGAGCCTGCAGAAGCATGTAGAAAACAACTTTTAGAATGCAGGTAGAGCTGAGGTCCCAATAACTGCAACACATGTCACTCTCTAAGAGCAACAGGAATTGCAAATTTTAGCTAGAAATACCAGGGCAAGCCCATTTTGAGGAGAGAGACCACAGTCTGTGTGATCTGCTATGAAAAATCCATGCAGCATAAATTGTTTCAAAATTAAATCTTAGAAGTCCGCTGGAGTTCCAGCTTGAGGTTATAAGGAATGTCAGTGCTTCTAAGCTGATGCAGAGCCTGGAAAGCTCTCTCTTCGGCACGCATCCAGGCACATGGGTGTAGTACACGGCACTTGTCCATAGATTTCTGAGCTGATGCGATCACAACTATTTATTTCAAACAGCTTGGGTCAACAAATCATTTACAAACCAGCAGAATATGAGCAGCTCCCCAGAAATCAGACGTGTTGAGAGCTGAGCAAGGGTATTTGTTAAACATACATCTCAAACTCTATGAAGCCAACTCTATCTTCTCAATTCAGCAAGTAATCTTAGGTGATTTACTGCTCAGACACAACCCACAGAAAGATCTGCTCCTATTGAATTGCTCTATTCAGGCAGTCCACTTATCCTCCCCTCCAGATAGATGGCTGCAGAGTAGCTGGCATCCGTGCTCAAAGCCAAAGCAAGGCTAGTCCAAGACATTTCGCCATATCGTTCGTTCATTCTACTGTAATTAATCAGAGCCAAAGTTATGGTTAGGCACACTCCCCCGATGCTCAAATTTAGCATGTACAGCAAACAAGAGCAAGACAAACTATTCATAACAATCTAGTTCATTATTTCTGTCCCCAAATCAGTCTTGAACAGACTTTTTATGTTTATAACCACATTTAAATTGCGTGTTTAGTCAAGGGGTTCTAGTAGGTTGTTTTAGCTAAATTATCATTTGCCTTTTTTACTTACTACACTTAAATAGCTTTCTGAAATTCCATTGGAAATCAATGTAAATGGAGCACCACAGGAACTCCCGGGTATTGTGAGATTAGTCACCTCACTAAGCCATTATCACTTTCCCCCAGATTGCCGAGTGCAGATTTTTGTGAAGCATAAGAAAGAAGTCAAAGACAGGCCAAGAAGGTCCTTTGGTATAAACCTCCCCATCTATTGTAACATTAAACACCAAGTCCAGAGGCATTTGCAAAGTTTGCAAAAGTCCTTAGAACAGCACACGAGGTGCAGCTCATTTCTACAACAAACATGAAATATATTTATCAGAGTTTCATGGAGATTTAACAGTTTCTGATGGGAGAAGCTAGTTCTTTCCTACCCCACTTAATCTGAAAACAGATGGGTACAGCATCACCACACAAGGTCACACCTGCAGAGGATGGTGTTTATGAGCATTTAAGTTTACAAAGCTCATAAATGTAAAGCAGGTAAAAGCCTACCCGTGCTTTGCCCAAAGGAAGCAGATGTCTTTTTGTCCCAGTGACTGGGACTGACAGGTCTGCTGTAAAGCTGCAGTGCAGTTCACAAAACAGAAGGAAACAACTTATTAATAGAAACACCCAACTCAAGCAGGATGGGGTATTCCCTCAATGCTGTAACAGAAGCCAGCAAAAGAACAGCTGGGTTGAAGAGAAAAGGGAAATAAAATGAGTTCATCCTTCAAAAAGGGCTGGCTCATGTGGCAGGAACTCCGAAGTGCAGTCTCCAGAATACAGCAAACAAGACCAGCATCTTAGCAACTGGGATGCAGCGTTTGCTACAGATGTGGAAGAGACTATTCAAATATTCCTGGTTTCCACCAGGATGCAAGACAGGCACAAACTCCCCTCCACTGCAAAAGTGAGGGAACAGGCCAGCTAGAAGCAGAAGCCAGCAATCATGGGCAGACTCTGACCATTAACTGTGAAGACAAACAGATGTCCTCAGCCTTTCTGGAGCTCCAGCTGTGAAGAAACAGGCCAGAGCAGACATCTTGTCAGGGAGAAAAAAAGAAATCCAGATGGCACATCCCAGAAAAATAAATGAAAAACTCCTGAAGTTTAAAAAAAAAAAAAACCCATACCTCTCCAGTGCCTTGCTTAAATTACAAATCCCTCTACAAGACAGTCATGGCACTCCCCAATTTCTCCAGCACAAGCATGATTGACAGTTAAAATGAATGTTCCATCATTGTGGTATTATTATTTAATTACTATGGCATGCATGAGCAATTCCAGCAATAAGCATGCAAGCCTCTATTTTTCTTGGCAGCAGCAGCCTCCAGCAGCCAGAGAGACCTTGCAGCCAACTCAGGTATCAGTCAGGACTGTGAACAGCCTTGGAATCCCAGCAAAGGGGACTTGTCCCTCCTGGGGTGCTGTTTACAGAGCAAAGCTAACCTACAGGAGTCAGGAGGAATCCTCAGGTTAACTACAGCGAAATCAGGCTTACTCCTTAGCACTTGAAACAGTACCTCCAAAATCAACAGAAGCCTTGCCAGCAATTTTTAATGAACTTTCCATCAGGCCTTTTAACATTACTTTGGAATCCGAATACAATGGCACCTATCACTTCAGAACCAGTTTATGACACTGATGAGAAATCAGCCCACTCTCTCCCTAATTTCCCTCACAATAAAAGACAAGTTGAGCTGCAATTTAGACTGCTCCACACAAGCAGAACCTGCGGTTCTTTCTGGCTCTAAGTCCCAGAACAGCACACACTGCCCAGAGACACACACAGTCTCTGGCCAAGATTCAGCCAGAGTGGAAGAAACTACTAGCAGAAATCTGCAGTCAAGTAGCAGAGTTTGGATCCTGAGAAATTTCTGAACTCTATCTGAACTTTCCTGAAATTCAAGGATTCTGGGATCCAGTGTGCATCTCTGCTAAAAACCAAAGTGAAATGGACAAAAGTAGTTCTAGAGTCTGGATGAATAAAAGAAAAATGTCAACATTACCTGTGAGCAAGTTTGTACACCTAAAAGCATCTCCAGGTGTTCTCGGGCACACCAAAGTGTTTCTCAGGATGGGAACAGGATGGAAAGAAAGCATGAAAAGGTTACAATTTTGTGAGAAGACAGCATCCTTTCCACCTGCAATTAGTCAGAGATGCGTGTCCAGAACACATTACATTAGGTAACCATCCCAGTCCACAGTCTTTACGCCTGAAGTTACTGCCCTGCAAGTTTTGCTCTGTTATCTATGTATTTGTCCATCTGTGATGGAATGATATTTAAGAATTCTTTGCTTAATAGTTGAGCAGTTGCCAGACACAAAATGGACCTGACTAAGCATTTCAATTATCTTAATCCACAAATTCTATGTTGTTACACCTGATTTACACCAGCAAGAGTACTGTCAGTTTCATTATGAAATTAGGAGTAGATTATTTATTTCAATAGTGTATTTTACTTGGAACAGGTTAAAAAGTGACCTTTTTTTTTTTTTTTAGCATGAAAAATCCTATGTCAGCTGCTAATAACTTATGGTTATACACACTCTTGGTTATTAATGAGATGTAAAACCAAGGTCCTGACCACTTGTGGTTTTTACAGATCTGTCAAGAATTTTCCCTAGAGCAGAAGTGTTAGGTTTGGCGTCTTAGCCAAATCCAAAATGGAATTCCTACCTAAATTCCCACTATGTTTTGTGATTGAAAAATTATTCTTCACTCCTCTAAATGGCTGTCTCAAAAAGCTTCTCCGCTCCACTTAAACACAAACTGCATTCCGCGGTCACAATGAATTTAATGAATCTAATGGAACAGTTCATGTGGGCAAGAGCTACTCTGGGTGAGAAAACGACGTGATGTTTGTTCCTGCGTTAGCTGTACCGCAATGTTAATCGGTGCCACCCCTGGATGTGCCAGTAGAGTTCTGTCTTTAGGGACGCCACAAAAAGTTGAGGAACTGAACAGCACCAACAGAACAGGTGTGGCACAGTGCATCTAGCACCCAAACCCCCATCTGATGTAGGACTCCGTACTCTAACAGTGAGCTTTAAAAATCTTACAAACAGCTCTGAGAAATGAGACCAAGCACTGAATTATTTGATACACTGAGTCAGATGTATGAATTCAACATTATTTTACACGGGCCACAAGGAATTTCTAGGAAGCATGTTATTTTTTTTATAGCCCTTCTTGTTCATAATATGTCAGAGCAAAACTGACAATGACAACAGATACAAACCACGAAATACCACATCATCTACTACAGATAGGTCACAGTCCAGTCTCTCCCATGGCTTTAACACTTGTCAGGCCCAAAAATACATTTCTCAATTACACATGCAAGGACACACTTCAGGCTAAGACTGAACTCTCTTTACAGAGGAGGAATGCAATCTGTGCAATGTCATTGAACCAGCTGCTGTTTTCAATTGGAGGCAAAAGGCCCCAAAGAAATAATTCAGAGAGATTTAAGTAATAAACCAGGTAGACCTAGCCCTAGATATTTGACAGAGACAGAAGGATCACAAAGGAAATAAAATTTCAAGGACTCCTTGGCTACGTAGCGGGTAACTAAATTAAAAACATTACACTATTCCTTGCAGAAATTCCACTGAAGGTAAAATCCTGTTGACCTCAAATCATACCTGAAATTTCACCGGGACACTGAGTCAATAATTTTCCCCTGCGCAGGGCATCCTTTCATGAAACAAAACTGCTCACAGAAGTACTTCAAGTACCTTCAAAGAGATCAGTCTTCCACAGAGAACTGCTTTCAACCTTCCTTTTGCTTGATAGGTTAGGTAAGGATAGCTTCACTAGTACTTTATTTCTTCCATTAGTGAATACAAATTGTGATGCTTTGCTGCAAATAGCAACTGTCATTTACCCCAGTAATCGTGGTAATTTTTAAGCACTGCATTTATAGTATGTGTAAAATAACCCCTTAGCTTGGGCAGGTGCTATATAAACATAAAATACAATACAGTCACCCATGACATTTAGAAGCAATGCTTAACTAGAGCCTGGACTTCAACCTCAAATAGATTCCAAGGAGAAAAGTTCACGTTGCAAAATTTGGGAGTGGATATCAAGCAGAGCTTGTAAGCATTTACATCAAAGATTTGGTTTCGTCCTATCCTTATTAAACAGAACCTGCCTTCACTAACTCGCTAGCTCTTACTGCAGCCAAACCTTTGCCATGGATATTTTTAAAGCAAAGTATTTCAACACAGAAACTGCAGCTTCCAAACAATGTCTGTTTTAATGAATGCCCACTAGCCTCCGAATGAGTACTGTGTTTCTTCTAGCAATAATATATGTATGACTATATCAGAATTAACCAGGACCAGTTTCTGCTTGCTTTTGCAATCAGAATATATTCTGCTTGTGGTCCAATACATTTCACATCAAGCCAAATTAATTCCAGAATAGACTGAAATTTAGTTGCACTAGATACGTATCTGGCCCCTTTTGCAAAAAGAGAATGAAGCAGTTCTAGGGAGAGCAGAAGAAAGTGATTGATTATAAGCACCTCAAGAATTTAGCATGTATACAACCTGTCCCGACAGAGCCCTGCAATACACAACAAAAAATTAGCTGAAGAAACGCTACTTACAGTCTCCTAATGATAATTTTAAGTGCAGCAGCCAGCTTTTTTATATAGAGAACTGTTTTCCAGACTTGCCCAACCTTAACCAATTACTCTCACAACAGCATTGAAGAGGATATTTAGAATGTCAGCCCAATTGTTCTAACTTGCCCCTTGTGCCATGCCCCAATTTTTGACAGGTTTGTTCCTCTATTGCTATAGTGACTGCCATCCCTAATGCTTCTGATCAAAGTAATGTTTTAGAGGTCACCTCCATTTGAAACAAGGGACATTTTTGTGTGAGCAGGGGAGAGAGAGAGAGAAAGGGGCTGTGTGCTAGGGGAGACGCCCTCCTTTCTCAGGGTTGTAGTCTCCCTTCCATTTCATCCTGCTCCTAATCCTAGGACCTGCTGTTAATTCCCTAACCCCCTCTCCTACTCCCAAGCATTCTATGCAAGTTTCCGTCTTAAAGGATTCTGAGGGCTATGATCAATTGCCTAGAAATTTTTTGCAGCTTTCTGCCTGGGGTGATTGTCCCAAACATGTAACTGGAAGGATCCTACCCTGCAAAATTCACATACTAAGCCTAGCAAGTCGTCAGCTACAGGCACTGAGGTATCATACACACAGTCTTACACTTGCCACTTAATGCGTAATTACCACCATCCTGAATCCTTTCCTACAAGAGCTACAATCACTTTAAACAGATCATCTGACTACACCAAAATTTTTCTCATCTGTAATTTTCAACCACCACAGCCTCTCTAGTGGAAGGTGCAGCGTAGAGAAAGCTCAGGCATGCTCAGGTGTTTATACTGTTGCCTAAGACAGTTTTGAAATAACATTCCAGAGAGTAAAGGGTTTGCCTGCAAGAGAGACATTAATATTCCAGTATCATCATTTTACTGCAATAGCCCACTTGCCTTTTTCTAATCAGTTGTTTCTAAACAGGATAGTGTTCATACGCTAGAACTCCAAAATGTCTTTACACTTAATGAGCTACTATGGGACTGGAAATTCAGTCATGCATATTCTAAAATAAATTATAATAATAAATTGCAGTATTCCAGTGTTTGCTTCAGTAAGCTAGACAATTAATCATGCAAAGGCAAAAGAGAGAACATTTCTCTTTAAAGTCAAACAGAATTTGGCAAGATTGCCTCGATCATTGGAAAAAGGTACCAGCATCCCATTACTGCCAGAAGTTCTACCAAACACTAACAACACATAAACACCTACCTTGGGATGCCCGTGCAGTTCTTCACTGTTTGAGAGGGTAGCATTGAAAGGTTCTGTATACTGATTAGGTTCTTTCTTCATCTTTCTCTCTCTCTTTGCTGCTGTAACTCTGAAGAGGCAAAACTGCTGACAAAGTAAAGTTGCCACAAATACCCAGGTGCACCCCTTCATTTTGAAAAGGGAGGGGCCAAGTCAGGAAGGGCACTCTTCAAGCACAAAAACCTTCACCACCAATAATAGGAATAGACACAGACTTCTCTCTAAAAAAAATAAAAAATAAGAAGGTTAGAACTATTAAAAATGATCCTCCGGGCTATGCAATGTCAAATGAGCAGCATGCACAGATGCGCTGGTTTGCTGGAGAGATCTCTGTTCAAGCAGGACACATGGAAATGGTATAGATAAACTTGTTTGAAAATCTGGATTCACTCGAAGAAAGAGGTAAGTCCATTCAGCCTCTTGAAGCTTACATAAATACAAGAGGCCCTGGAAAGTCCTGCCACCCACCTTGAAGTGTCACTCCCCCCCCCTCCAATAAGTCTTCAGACTCGTTTAAAATGCACTCAACTATGAAACCTAGAGAAGTGAAATTGCTCAGGGCAACAGTTGCTCAGGCAGAAGCTGACAACACAAACTCATTAGGGGGGTTGTTAGGTTGTTGTTCTTCAACACGAGATTTCACTTTCTGTCATTTGAAGCATTGTGTTCAGTTCAAAGCAGGCTTGAATACATTCCCATCCATTTGCTCTTGAAGGATACTTCCCTCTCCTCAGTGACAGGGAAAGTCTCCATCCTTTCCTTTCAAGACGCTGGGGAACTGCAAGCCAAGGTTGCTACAGCCACTGCTCTTCTGAAGAGGCTGAAAGCATCACAGCTCAGCCAAGTGCTCAGCCTTCTAAGGAGAAAAATTTCTCATATCATAAAAGTTAAAATAGGGAGAAGCAAAGAATCTGAGGATGTACCTAGGTCCATTAGGAGCAGATAAAGTTTCACCAAGTCTAGCTTCTCTCCCTCTTTAGCTGGGTTTATCTTCACTTTTCTTTAATGAGACGATGAGCAGTAAGTCCCGATGCCGCCAGCAGCTGTCAGGATGTAGAATCTCCAGTCTTTTTCATCCTCATCGCCCCTCACACTCGGCAAGATTTCAGGTGCCTCTGAGTGTAGATCACGCCTGATTTTTCTTGCTGCTCCTCAGCTGCACACTGGCAAAACCCTCCTCAGCTTTTGCTTTACCTCAGCAAGTAAGTACTTCTTTCCTGAATGAGTTTCCATCAACTTCAAGAAAGGGGAAAAAAAAAAAGAAAAAGAAAAAAGGAGGAGGGATCACATTCTAATGAGCTGTCAAGCCTATTCTCTTCACATTCCTATTAGACTCACTGATAAGTGGAGCTGGCCCGTGTGCCAGGCAGATTTAAATCAATGCCCATTCCCTGCTCCCTCCCCTCAGCCCTATTCTGTACCTCCCCTTCATTATCTCAGAGAAATCACCATTTTTCTCGGAAGTTTGTAAAACTGTACATGAGTGTGTGGTAGAGCTAAAAATATGTGGCTTGGAATATGCACTCAGCATCGCACCACACACTGATACCTCAGAACTCTTGTTTTATACTCTAGTTAGCTGTGTTCCATGCAACGTTTTCCCCTAGCTCTCATTAGAGGCTGGCTCAGTGTGGGCTTTCTGATTTCTTTACAGGAGGGTGGGCTGTTTATTAAAAATAACAGAAAACCAAAGGTTACACATCGTCTACAAGCATTTCATAAGGGAGATCTTGAAGTACTTGGACAGTGCAAATCTTTGTCAGATCCCCACCACCTAGAGCAAACATTCCTATTCTTTCTACAAATATGGTGTGATGCAAAAATTTAGCTGAGATTGTACCACAAGAAAGTCCAAGAATGATAAAAGGTTGAAGATCATACAATTTCAAGTCCCTTATGCAGTCAGCAAGCAACAGATTTACTTTCTTTTAACAATCCCTTTACCGTGCCTTCTGTAACCCAAGTAATAATGCCAGCACAGTTCTTCTTTGGACTTTAAATGCAGCCAGGGTGGATCAGGAGCAACAGCTCTATTATCTATGGTTCAGGGAAACTGAGGCATCAACAATCTGAGCATAAAATCAGGAAGTAAAATGCAGATTTTTTTTTTTTTTTAAGTATCTTTTGAGAGAAATGGAGATTGGGAAACAGAAGAGAGTAAGAAGGAAAGTTACAAAGAAGCTAAAGAGTTAACTGCATATCACCCCTCCCCCAACTAGCTCACATTCCATCAAAACTACGTGGCAGACTTTATTTGTTAATAATATTTAACTTTCTTTGGCGCCTTCTCATACTTAAGCCTCTTTTTTCAGGTTAGTTGTAGACAAGCCATGAATTTGTAAAAGTGCACTTGATGACACATTAATAGGACAATCTGTCATATCGCAGCTAAACAGCTTGACAGATCCACACACCATGGCAAGAAATGACATTCAGGGCTGGAACGGGGCAATTGCTTTTTTGGTCTGCTGGTGCAGGCTGCATCTGTCTGCCTGCAACATCTCCTTTCCCATCCAAGAGCCAAATCCCAAGGCTATATCCTCGGATTTGGGGGAAAGGAATCCTAACTACATTTGCAGTCACAAGGCAAAGTTACTTGATGGCCCAGTAGGACAAACTGACTGCAGCTAACTCCTGACTGTATACTTTTCTCTATGTTGGGCTGAAACAAGTATCTGCACGGTTGTGCCTCTCCTCCAGCCTTCAATTCAGCATCTCTATTATCTGTAGAAAACTGCACATCTGGCTGCTGCTGTTCTTGCATCCTAGTTACAGCAGTTCCAAAGTACCCAAGTCTTGCCAATGTATGAACATTCAACCTCCATCTGCAAACAAGTAGGAATAGGCCGCTGGTGCACTTAATAGCACAACAAACCAAGGATCTCAAAGTGACTGAAAAGACAAATAGTTTCTTCTCTGAGCTCAGCACCATTGCAGCAATAATGGGAATAGTTAAGAATGTAACAATGCCAATACTACGTGAGGAAAGTTTTCATCAAAATTGCATGCAAGAACCCAAATACAGTGTTTGCAAACACTGTAAGAAGTGTGTGTAAAGCTGGAGAGGAAACTGAATAGTCAGGCAGGAAACTTCTATTTTGATCTTTCGATCTCTACTTATGCAATTCACCTTTTACTCAAGCAAGACCTCACCTAACTACGCTAAGAATAATATCCAAAGGGCAAAACGTCAAAAGCTAGGATTTTCCCAGAGTTGCCCATTGTAGATGTGTTGAACAACTCCTAAGCCTTGCTGCAGAGATAGTGATTTTTTTTTTTTTTTTAAGGCAATACAGAAGGCAGCACATTACCGTTCACTGACACACACACCATCCCTGCTTCATAGCAGATAAAGGTCTAGAGTACTGCTATGATAGATCCCTTAGGTTAAATCAAAAATTCCCCAATGCTAATCCAATATAAACTCAAGCTGTTGATTGGGTTAACATACAAAAGCTGTTAGAACAAACCTAAACACACCAGCAGACAAAAAGCGCAGCTTCGGGAAGAGAGACCAAGAGCTTATGGCCGCTTCAGTTGCCTTCTACAAAATTCCCCCGCGGAGCTGCCCGTACCCCACGTTTCAGAGGACCTCGCCATTTGGCTCTTTCCCGCATTCCCCAGCCACCCAGCCACTCGCTGGGACCCACGCAGGATCCCTACGCCATCTCGTGGTAAATGCACAGAAACACCGAGACGCTTGGCACAACAGGGAAACACTTGCTGCCACTCGTAAGGTTTCCCTCGCAGTGGGCTCTTCGGAGCGACCGAGGCGTGAAACAACGTTATTGGGGCAAAGCTTTTACCGCTAATAAAAGGTTCCTAGTAAACCCTAATAAATCACCCTCATTCGTTGCCCAGAAAAGTCTTCTCAATAACATGAGATGTGAATGCTTTGAATCCACGTTCAATGGCCTCCCTTCTGAGCATGTGTAGGTGATTTTTTCCATTGAAAACATGATTTTTCTGCTTTAAGAAGTAAGATCTGGCCTTTGCTGAACAGTGAAAAAATGGATCAACTTGTATACTCCTTGTCTTCCCGTGACTGGGTTGCAATATAAGCCACTAATAGCAATAAATTATTAGCAGACATTATTCAGAAACATTCAAAAAATATCTTTTGAAGCACAGGGCTTAAGGTAGTAATTCTAATTACAAATTATGAGCTTGCTCTTCTGAAGAAGAGACAGCTTGTCACTTGCTGACTGCTTACACATTTAAGGCAAGCTGGAGAATCCATGAGATGGGCAAGAAGCATCTCATTTCTTTGGCCTTCTGTGTATGGGAGAGTTTCCCATTTAATACTTGGCTAGGTAGACATTATCAATACGCATGCTCAGCTTCAAATCCCAGTACTTGTGCAAATGCAATAGGAGGGGTTTTTTCCTCACAGATTTTATCTAGGGTAAGGGCAGAAGAATGCCTGTCCTCACAGCAAGAATCCTGTATGACTACATGGATCCGAAATACGGCAACACAGCTATCCTCATCGGACTAGTTCCTTGTAATACGAGCACTAAAAAAACCTGATGCAGGGCAACTGACCAAATGAAAAGCACTAAGTCTAAACAATGGAGTGGAAAAGAACTCCAGGCACAAGAACTGTTCTAAGTAAGAAAAAAAAAATACCAGCATTATTAAGGAAAATACATCATTTCATAGAACAAATTAGACCAAAGCTCAGCCCTAGCAGATGTCAGTCAAGCAAAAAAAAAAAAAACCCACATCACTTCCATCAAGTTATAAAGAAATTGCTATTAGAAACAACTATGTTTTGGATCCACACACACAACTGGAATGCCAGCCCCAAATCAAATTCTAGAACTCAGAAGTGAAGACAGCCGCTGAGTATCATTTACCTCCGAGTAACATTTACTGCTTCACACAGAACTCAAGCTGTCTGAATACCACAGAAATAGCTATCCACATTAAGGGAATAGCAGGAGAATGAAATAAAACTGTACTCAAACAGCGACTGCTGAGTTAGCAGCAAGGTTCCAATCTACTTTTTTCTTCAGAGACATCAGCACTGTTGGCAAGAACAGTGGAACAGCATCTTAGAGTGGTTCCTACATGTCTCAGAGTAGGTATTGAAAACAGGTACTGCACTACAGTGACAGCTGTGATGTTTATGGCATTACAGAATGAATAACACTCTGTAAAGGAACTGCATTATCAAAAGATTTAAAAGAAGTTACTACCTGTAGGTCTTCCTGGAGGTGTTTTACCACAGATGTAAGGGATACCAAACTAACTTGAGGGGGCAAAAAAAAATCTGGAGGTGGAACAGATGCAGTTTCGCCATAGGTTTTGTTTTCTAGTCCATATATATCCAGTTAGATTTCTTCCCAGTGATTTCTTTCCCAAAAACAGTCCCACAGAAAGTATAAATTTTATCATGAGTGTTTATTATGAACAAACAACTTTACAATGCAGTCATTTCTACTCCTCAGTACATGCTTGAAAGTAAGGTAACTTCCGTGACCTTGAAATCTTAGGGGGAGAAAAGTTAAGACCACACACAAATCCAGGATTTTAAAAATCAAGAGATCTTTAAAGGCAACCACTGAGATGTCTTCTGATTCAAGCTGCAAAAACTCCCTACCAGCTGCGTAGAACAACCTTACGGAAATCTATGAAACTGCAGCACGAAAGTGAAGGGCCAGACATTTGTTCCAATACCATATACTGAGGGAGCTTTTAGTTTTATTACATTAAGTAATGCACTGCTTCAGGGCATGGTAATATTTTTGCATGGCAAAGAATGGTTTACTCCATCTAATGACTTTGGTAACAAAAAGATCAGATACTGCATACTATTAGAAGTGCTTTTAAAAAAACCACAAAACAGTAAAACCTACACAAAAGGGAATAAATCTTCTGTTACCAAAGGCAAGGAGCAAGGAGATGTATCAAAATCTTGTAAGCCATAGGTGCACGGGTTCAGTCAGCTATTGCTCCTAGCTTTCAACAAATGGCACCTGAAATGACCGTCAGCTCTTTCTCTGAATCCAGGGTACTGAAGAGAAACTGCAACCGGAAGTTTTGTCTTGTTTTTTAAACACAACCAATCCTCAGAAAAAATGCAGCATGCCCAGGGTTTAACCAAAGTTTTTTGTTTCCAATTGTGGCACTTACTAAAAACAAGAGACCCACCTTCAAATACTTGGGTGTAGCTTAAGGCCAACTTCTTGTCACATAATAAAATCCCTTTTATTCAACACCTCCGGATTTTACTAGGTTTTTTTACCTTCGTTAGGTACATTTCACAAAAGATGCAAACACACCATGCCCAAGGTCTCCTTGCCTTTGTCTTCATTTATGTGGACAAAATAACTTCCATAAGATAAGATAAACATACATAACCAATTATAAGCTTCTGTCTGTAGGCAATGTCAATGGTAATAAAAGGCATTGCGAGAACACAAACATGTTTGAATGATACTAAGAGCTATGAGGCAGAACAGCCTCAGCTACAGGTCCATATGCTTCAAGAAAAAAAACCATCAGTCTGACAAGCCACCTTGAAATTTTTATCACTGCAAGACAGACATGACACTCCCCCTTCCTTTCCAGCACACTCCCAGACCGACTACGATAACAACTGGTGCTTCTCTTTTTACAAGAGCCGATTAAGCACATACAAGAGGTAAATTAAAAAACAGTTGTAAGATTTGGTAAACCCACAAAATAAAAAAATTTTCAAAGATTTATAAATACATTTTAAAATCCAGCCTTTACGAAATTCCAGCCCCACACACCCCATCTCCTCCTTCCCTTCCTTACCTCGGTAAGGACTGCTTTAAGATTTCTTTAGTGTAGAGCTGTTCTGCTAGTTTTGATAATTCCTACCTATTGCAGAGAATTGGTCACATTTACTGATGCTCTAAGCTGCATGGCTCATGGGTTAACAATACTTTTTTGCATACAATTCAAGATACCAAGGAGAAGCAGAGAGAGAGAGAACAAATCTGAAAGGGAAAATAAAAGAGTTTCAAAAAAATTCTTAGATACATGAGGTAATATTTATTTGGGGTCTTCACAATACTTAAGACTATGCAGTTAGATGCAGAGCTTTTTACCCTGCTACCACCTTTGACAGTTTGTTGTACTATTAACAGTGAGTGCGTTCTTCCCCAGATGACTAGGCATCACTGTCAATTATGAAAGGCACAGTAAGTTTGCCTCTGATGAAGAAGAGCATTTGGAGAAAATTAAGCTGGCGGTGGAAACCAAGCAAACTCAGTTAAAGTAATTTCAGACTTCTGAACTACCCTAGGAGCTTTAGTGTTTATCCACAGTCCTGTAATCCCATGAACAAACATCGGTATTTCAGTCATCAATCATCTGAAGGGGAACAGTAATGAACTTATACCCAAAAGCAAAAAGCTTCTAGAATCTCAGATGATTTAGGTTGTGGTGTTTTAAGTTTATGCAAATCTTCAAGGAAGCAAGCAGAACTAATTTCAAGGGTTTACTTCAGCTAGTGATACTTCAGACTAATTCAGTTGACTCTGAAGAAGCTGGTTTGTTATTCAGACTCATTTGTCCTTTTATCTTCACAAGGGCTAAGGTGACTTCATTTACCAAAGCCCAAGAAATCCAGAGAAGATTTTCTGAATACACAAGCAACTCTCCATTGGTGTGTGCAGTTTTATTATTTTTTCCAACACTGGCACCTTGTGATCAAAATTAAGCATTACAGCTTTCAAATATAACATCTCCCAAAATGGAAATCTGTAAGTGAACAAATCCAAAACAATACTGGGTATGGGTATTCCCACTAAAGACTGATTCCAATGCTTTTTCTTGCTAATCACTCCTAAAGGCTGACAACTGCACTTCTTGTAGCCCAAATAAAACCTTCAATTACATTGTGACAATTTAGACAATACATTTAACACACACGTGTTATTTTCCCACTCATCTAATCACTACTGACTAGATATGCAATGATGTTCATTCTATTTTAAAAAAGAAACCAGCAATCTTCTGTAGCATCAAGGTTCACATTAACCAAACCCTTACCAAGTCCACATGAAATCTCTACTTGAATCACTTCAACACCTGTAGAATCTTCCCTAATGAAAATAACATACAATATGCATAAATTGTGAAATTTTAAAAATTGTTCAATGAAGTAAAAAGCCTTATTTGCTTAAGATTTTCAAATTTCAATTAACAGATGGAGAACTACTATAAAAATCAAAGCACTAGAAATGTTAGTGTCTCATCAATAATGCTTTGACTTGTGTGTGAGCCACTACTAGATAGTAGCGAGGACAAGAGGATCTGCGAGCAGAACTTCTTTCAGTTTTCTGACTAATCGAAACTACTCCATTTCCCAAACATAACCCATGAGCCAACAAATGTTTTACCTGCAACTTGGTAAAACAAATATTTATCCCAGTGTCAAAGTCAGGTGCCCAAAGAGTCCCACTCATTCTGCAACTACCACTAATTTGGTCTTGGATTTCTTTTATCATCCTCATTCTTGCGCTATGCTTCTCAGTACATACTTGACTGTGTAGGCAAAGGCTGCAAAACCAACTATGACAAACAAGTTCGCCAAAGCTCCACCTAAAAGTCCATGGTTACGATTGGCCTGCTGGAGACCTGGATGATTGGCAGGTGCCAATGGTACATGCCCATTAAGAAGGGGTATTCCATTCTGACCGTAGTGTGCTTCCCCATCAGGGACAACATCTGGTAAAGGGAGGGATGGAGGTCTGTTATTGAGCTCTTCTTGTGCTTTCTGTTTTTGTTTAATCTCCTGGAGAAAGAAAAAAGAAAACTGAATAGCTGGAAGTGAAAAGTGGTGAAGCTACTGGGTGTTCTGAAAAGATTTCAGAACCCAAGCTCTTACTCAACTTTACGAAAAGGATATGGTACAATTCTGTATATTGTAGGTCTTTCAAACTAAATTAACTGCATTACATACATTTGTACAGTCTCTCTAACTTCTTCCAAAGTGACCTACTTCAGCAGTTGACACTAACAATCATTTGGCCAAGTTTATTTTTAGTTCACATGCACGTTTTCTGAGAAGCCTTTTTTCAGAAATGAGAAATTCTTGCATCAAAAGTCTTGCGTGTCCACAGGACATGAACAAAATTAAGAAAGCAATCACAGAAGCTTAGAAGGATTAGGACTATAGGTATTACATGTTAAAAATCTGCCTGTACTTGGAACACAACAGCAGTTATCTATTATTGTCTTCAGAGTTTCCCAATGATTTAGGTACTGGCAAAACAATATTGCAGAAAGTATTTCCGATTCTCTGGCATTCTTGTAACTGGTAAGAAAATGCAAATAAAACCCTCAGTTCGGATTTGTATCTGCATGAGGAAGAAAGGGACTGGAAATAAAACTTTTCTTTTCCCAGAAGGTTGTCCCAAAAGGAGGCAAAGAGGGAGAATGGTTTTTAAACTAGAGCTTTGTGAATACCTTTAAGAATAGTAACAGATTATTCAAACCTGAAGTTCCATAAGCACTCACCACTCTGCCCAGAAAGGCCATTTCTGTCTGTGGACAATGTTTACTTCACTATCTGGTCTCACGTTTATGACTTCAGGTTATCTCTAACAAAAACACACATCTCTCATGCTTAAAAAACCAGCTGGAAAAAGGCTCCTCTGTAACTTTTCCCCACTCTTCTACAGTATATATTCTTTGTACAATAATTAAGACTTCCAATTTGTTGAAATTTGTACAACCCAAAACAGTTTGCCTGACAAAATAAATTTTATGCCTAGAATTCCAAATTACAATGAGCATCAGCAGTATAATATTGTAACTCCAGAGTCATGAAACAGAGTCCATAACAGAAGACTGTTTCCATTCATATGGTACGCGGAAAATTAACTCTCGAAGTCTCAACAGCAGGCTGAAAGAACTGAATTCCTTCACTAAGAAGTTACAGGGAAGGAACCATCTTGAGACAAGTGAAGAAAGGAGCATCCTTCATTCACAATAGGTGAGACCTTTAAGAACAAAGTACCATGAGTGGAAATTGGCTGGAGAATCCCATAGGTCTCAATGAAGTGAAACACTTCATTCAGAGAATTAAGAAAAAAAAAATCAACGCTATTGATGGACGAAGTCCAGATATACAAAGATTAGTCCTACCCAAACTCAAGAAAACACAGTACACAATTCTAAAATATTGGGACTATGACCATGTCTGTATGTACAGCTCAGTCAAGGCTATGGTACCAATCCTAAATACACATATTTGATTCTCTATACAATGGATCTTTGTGCAGCAGAAAAACAATTCCATTTCAAGATTCAAGTTTTTAGTTCTTACACGTAGCAAAAGCACCTTTTTAAAAGGCTTCCAATATTGACAAAAGTAGCTACCGCCTGGGAAAACTCCTAAACAATTAGTTTACAGATCTACACAGAGAAGTTGAAAAACTACAGAAAACCAAATTATTGCACGGATGAATTCCCTTACCTCCACCACTTCAGGGAAGAGCTCGCAGAAGACTTTATCTTTTAAATTAAATGCTAAGCTTTGTGCAGCAAGCTGTCTTTTCTGTTGAGGAAACAAAAATTATCAGCAGTTGCATATAAACAAAGTTAATATACTTTAATTCAACGTCTGATTATTTCCCACAAGAACAGTGCAAAGCACTAGCCAACTAGTTTCTAACATTTACAGCTTCACACTTGCGAGTATTATTCACTACAACAGATGCTTCTAGATGTAAGTTATGTTCTCAATTCTTCATCTTATGGGATTAGTGTTCTGTACTAGTGTGCCTGCTTGGCAGACACTTCAAGAAGAAGGAAGGAAGGAGAAAGTAAGTCCTAACCATACTGTTTACTTAAAAGGGATTTTAAGTTCTCTAAGAAATCCTCTCCCCATACCCACACTATCTAAAATTGACTTGATTCATCTGCCCATCATCTGTAGTGGGCAACAACATACTCATTTCTGAAACATTAAAAAGCCAGCTGCTGCTGCTGTTTTAACTTTGAGGTCATGTTCAACATTCCTTAAGCTGACAAAAGGTACACCACACAGTCTGGAGCTTACTGTGAACTCTGATGTCTCTATGCTGCCCAGTGTGGGGCCCTTTTCCACCATAAAACTAAGAAGGCCCGTCAAGATCGTCGAGACTGACCAAGCTGGATTCCATGTATCCGGGTGGAAATCAGTGATTGAAAGACACAACCTTCAAAAGGATAAGACAGGCAGTGTGTTTTATTTTTTGCCATTAAAATTATTACACATTATACATATTGCTAAAATAGTGTTAATTGCTTAAGTGTTAGAAGAAAATCCTTACCTTGTATTACACTTAAACCTTCCATTAGGTGTAATCATATAAATACTAGGAGGTTTAAAAGGAAATTCTCTGGGGAATATTAGTTTCCCATGATAATAGCCACCTGCATTACATAAAGAGATGAATTACTTATTTTGCATGAAGATGAAGTCCTAAGCTGCTACTCAAAATGGGCCAAATAAAACCCTTTACTCGTCTCCTTCTCCCCCTCACACTAAAGAAATCAAGCTCATCATCTTGTGCCTCTAAAACACTGGAATAATGATCCACACCTGCAGTAGGTTTACTTTGGAGACAATTCTCACATACATATTACAAACAGATCTTTCTGTTGTCAACTCCATTATACATTTAAGGAAAACCAGCCAAAGTGCATTTAATACAATACAAATGGGTTAGTTTTCCAGAAACACAGGTAACTGCAAATACAGTCCTATGACGAATCCAATTTCAAAAAGCATTTTCGGAGAGGCTCCAGAAGACATGGTGAAATATGTGACTACAACAAATTAATAAGGCTTTTACGTTCCTCACTTTCTCCAGAGAAATTCATATTCCCATACAATGTATGTCTCAGTTCACCATGAACATTTATGTGGTAACAAAATGGAATTTTCTGAAATTATGTTTGACTGTCCCATACTACCTAGAGCCGAGTTATCTGCTCGAAGACCTTTAGCAACTACTTAATAGGAAGTTATCTTGTCTTCAGTTTAACCTAAATGTGGTTTTGTTAGAATCCTTGATAACAGAAAAATTATACTAGACAGTGGTACCACTACCTCTTTTCAACAAGCTACCACACAGCTCACAGACAGCTTTGAAACTGCACTAACAGTTTTTAGAGCTATTTACAGTAGTTATATTTTGCCCATTCAAACAGGCATGCAATTACTCAGGCATGCCAACCACAACATAAAGTACATGCACACTTTTGCTACATACTAACTTTTACCTTCATAGGGAGTCATTTCAGGTCCCCGTACAACATAGTGCCTAAGACAAAGAAGGATATTTAAACAGTATGAAAGCCATCACATAATCAGACATCAATTTCTCTAGAAAAATGAAAATCCATATCACTTCAGCAAAAGTTTCATACTCCACCCACCGCCAAAACCAGGATTCCCATACAATCTGTAAGAGCAAGGGAGTCAGACTTGATGACCTGGAAAATCTTGTTCCTTCCACAAGCGCATGAACAGTTCATTCTAATTCTTACCATTCAAGGATATTAGATGGGAGGGGCTCTGCACAGATATAAGGCACTGGATCTTTCTTAATTCGAAGGTAGTCTTGTTTAAGTCTCTGTGTTGCTGTCGTTGGTGCTCTCTTATTACTGTTGTTGCTCATCTAGTTTTTAAAACATATATATAAACACAATCTCAATACAATCTTAATAAACACAGAGCTACTATGCTTCACTGAACACAGCTCTAGATTTTTGCAAAATCCACTTTACAGAGTATTTTCTTAAAAATACAAATTAAATTACCATAGCTTTCAAGTGGCAAGAACTGTGCAAAATCTTAACCAACTAACACACTCCCAAGAGACTCTGTATATTGCCAAAATGGGAAAATACTCCTTCCAGAACACTGCTGTTTGAATACCACAGTCAATTGCTACCATGAAAATATGCTGCACTACAGAACCCACTTGAACACTTAATAACCACTCCTGTGTTTCGGCTGAACACGCATAATTATGACACTGTTTTAAAGGGCTTAGTCTTTTTGGGTAATTAATTTCCCTATTCGGTTTGAATATCTATTATGTAAATTTGCCCATGACATAAATGTGTTTGCTGTTTCTCCACATCCAGTTATTTGACACAAATAACAAACAAAACACCACAGTAACCTTATTACTGACTTTGAGGTGAAAGATTTTAAATTAAATCTGCTGCCTGCTTAAGAGTCAGTTGAAATTACAGAAGGGAACTTCTGAGCCAGTTTATTCTCTTCCAGATAAACAAAGACCTCATCCAAAATAAGATAAGTCAGTGTGAAGAAAGGAAATTCCATGTCGCTTACAAGACAAAGAAAGCATTAGCCCTTACAACTGCACCTACAGAACACACGCCAATTAACAACTGTTATTTAACTCACTTTCCCCTGAAAAATTTAGCAAGTTACTTAGCTTTATACCTGGAAATTCAAACAAGGATAAAAAGGAAAGATTTTTACAAACAGCTTGTATAAACAGGTAAGACAACGCTTACAATACGATAGCAGCTTTTGACACAAAAAGTATGTTAAATGCCCATAACCCTTTCTATTCCTTTACTTCAAACAGATAGCCAAGTACAATTTATGAAATAAGTCATACTTAAATCACAAGCAACAATTGTACATGGCCAAATATTCACACCCTACTCCAAATAAACATGTTTAACCTGGCTTTTGTCAGAATTAATGTAAATCACTGTTTGAAACAAACGGTATTTTTTTTTTGTGAAGGAAGTCACACGTTTCCAAGTCACATCTCTTGAAATCACACAATTAAGAATTTTGCCCTAAAGAAGGCAGTTCTGACTTTAAATTAAAAAGATACGATTTAATCCATGTGTTAACACAATTATTTGTTCTGAAGTCTTGCAACAGCGCCCCTCACTACGGACTGCAAAAATACACTGAAACACTTTACAGCACTGAGTACAGTTACCGGGATTTTAACACCCCTCAAAGCCTTATCTGAAAGAACATTTGTATCCTAGAGGCAGAAAATAAACGGCAACATTTACGGAAGCTCCGACCGCAAACCCATTTCCCCACCTCCACAATCCAATTTACCAGCAGCAAGCAAGAAAG